TAGGGAAAGGTTTAGTAAAGCTTACACTTGCAACTTGTTGGGTAGGTCTTTGGAAGTTATAGTGATGGTAATTTTTCTTCTTACCCTTGTACCCTCCTTCCATATTGTTCACCTCAGACTCCTTCTTTTTCCCGATAAAGCCTTTCTTCTCAGTAGGCTCTAACATTCTCCCTATTCTTATTGCTTGTTCTATCCTCTCAGCAATAGTTACAGCATCATAAAAATGCTGAGCTGAACTACCCACTAGGTGTTCAAAGTAGGGAGATTTAAAAGTGTTGGTAAACAGAGTGACCATTTCTTTTTCTAACAAAGAGGGTTGCACATGAGATGCTTTTTCACGCCATCTCAAAGCGTATTCTCTTACAGTCTCTTTGGTGCCCTTCTCCATGACTAACAAGCTTGACCTGTCCGGGGCTACCTCCATGTTGAATTTGTACTGCTCCACAAAAGCTTTAACCAAATCTTTCCACTTTCTGATCTTTGTATTATCTAGTCTTGTATACCAGCTTAGTGCTGATCCAGAAAGACTGTCTTGAAAGAAATGGATGAGAAGTTTCTCATCATTCACCACTTCTGCCATCTTATTACAATAAGATTTAAGATGAGTGACTGGGCATTCAGTTCCCGTATATTTGATAAATTCCGGTACCCTAAATTCTTTAGGTACAGCTACATTTGGGACTAAACACATCTCTGCAGCATGAACAGGATCATATAAGTCGGCCCCTTCGACTGCTCTCAATCTTTCTTCTAGAGCGGTCAATTTATCATAATCAACAGGTTTAGAGTATCTCATCTTATGTGAGTCATCAGCTGTCAAGTTTATGATCGGCACTTGTGCTGGTGGAACATTGGCAGTGAACTGCTGTTCAGATGAAGAAGGATTTGCTCCTAGATTTTGAGAAGTGAACACGAAAGGAGCTATTGGAGTAGATGCAGATGGAGTTGTCACTGCTGGCTGAGTAGAGGTATCCTCTCCAGACTTGGATGCTAGGGCCTGCTCGAGTAGACTTGTAAGTCTTGCTATATCATTTTTCATGCTCTCCAACTCCCTTTGATAATGAGCCTCTAGATGTGCTCTTTCTTCGTTCTCCATTATCTTTCTTCGAAGTCGAGTGTAATGAATTTTATGGTCTTTTGGGGGACCTATATTTCAACCTGGATGAATGCCATAAAAATGAATGAAATGCACAAATGGATGCAAAATGCTACATGGATGATGTATGCCTGTTATTTGTTTTAGGTTTTCCTTTAACTTATGATGAAGAATAGACCAGATCAGATTCTCTTAAAAAGTTCTCACTGAGGACTCCAAACCTACAGGAACTTGAACCGATTTAGGGGAGAAATTTGATGGCATAAATCCATATCAAAATAAACATTTTTCATAATAAAAAAGATGATGAAATTGTCTTTTATTGGTTTACAATATCAGAATTACAACAAGTCAATCTTTCCAAAGCCTTGGGCCGTCATATGCTGCTATCTCATTAATCCCATCTCTGATTAGCCCAAAAAACTGATGAAATTCATTTCTAGTCATTGGTTCACCATCTGCTATTTGTTGGGCCATGCTTCTTAATCCTGAAGCATAATTCTTGGCATCATCTGCTTGTACATGATAGCGCATAGCTTCAGAAGCCCAACATTCTGCTTCTTTTTCTGCATTTTCTTTTTCTGATGATAAGGTTTGCTTAATGGAAAGCAAATGGTTCACCTGCTCATCTAAATTGGCAATCACTGCATCTTGATTTTGACACTGTTCCTGAAGTGATTTATTTGCCTCTTCCAACTTTAATGCTATTTCCTCAGATTTTGATGCTCTTTTAACCCATCTCTTCACGTTGACATCTTGCTTCCTCTTATCTTCTGACAGAAGTGCATATTTTTCTTGTAGTCGCTGGAACTCAAGTTGTTGATGTTGTAGCTGAGTTGACAAGTCATCCTTTTCCTGTTTCGTGATAGCCAATGCTTTTTCTCGGATGGCTAGATTAGATGCTAACTTTCTTTTTTTAGCCGTTAACTCTTCTACTTCAGAATTCAAATCTAGGTTGTAAGATTCTTGTTGAGCACGAACCTCTTCATATATGTCTTCAGCAGACTGAATCACAGACCTAGATGGCCCTTCAAATGGAGGAACTTTGTACCCTTTCCCTCTCTTCTTCTGCCATATTGGATATCCTTTAGTTGTTTTTCCTTCTACCCTATTAACAGAAGTAACCCTACCAGGATGCTTCCATGCCTTTTTCACTGACTCTAATAATTTCTTTGAGGTCTTGAAATCTTCATAGAATGTTGCCAGCTCGGTAGTCCTTGGAATAAACTGCTCAAATCCAAACTGTCGTAAAACCATGTTAGGACAATAACTAATACAGCAGCGGGCTCCTATCAACGGGACCCATGGGTACTCACCACAATATGCTAGATAAGATTTGAAGTAAGAATATCGACTCCTCCAATGAAATTGAGATTTACTCAAACTCAGAAACATTGATTCCCATGTAGTTCTTCCTACTTCATGCAAATGTTTTTCAGCAAAATTCTCCAACTTAGAATAAAGATGCCATGGGGTACCAACCAAACCTGAGATCTTCCCCTCAATCATGTGACTCACAGTCCAAACAAACAAAAGCTGCAAGCAACATCTTAAACGACCTTTTCCGGCTTTTCTACAATAATTCAAAGATGAGAGAGTTTCTGCCAATATTGCTGTAGCAGGATTAATTTTGAGGGTCACCACATTTTTAAATACATTAACAGCCTCAAAATCGATCATTCCCTCGGCAGATGGGAAAAGAACCAAACCGTATATGCCCAACGCCAAAATTCTCAATCGAATTTCATTGCTTTCATCATGTAGTCTCCTCTTGAATATGGCTTCTAGCTCATTCCAAAACCAACCCTGGCTGTTTCCTCGTTTAGTTGCATGTGATTTTGCTAGTTGACAGTCTATCTGGGTAATCCAAGCAAAGTTAGAAAGTGCATGCTCTATAGGTGCGTAAAAGTACACCTTTTCTGACTTGGGACAATTTAGCAAAGATCCATACTCCTCGATAGTAGGAGTCATATCCACAGTATCAAAAGTGAAACACCGATATTCTGGATCCCAAAAACCTATCATGGCTTGAAAACAGGCATGTTGGACCCTAATTTTCAGTAAATGTGCCAAGTCCCCATATTGTTTCTGAAAATCGACCTGATCATGAACAGATAACATTTCCCAACAGTTCAGTAGTTGTCCTGTACCAAGTGGTCTGTCATCTAATTTAACCTGTGCCGGTAATTGAGACTCGAATTCTGATGGCAAACAATCCCCTTCATCATGTTGGCTCAATTCTGATCTGGTCAAAAATTCCTCAATAGTATTGGTTTTTTCCATCTCACACTTCCTATAAGGATCGGTGGAGATATAATGAGAATATGGAATGCATATGAAAATGTATGTTAATGCATTGACATTTATTTGTGTCTTATATCCTACTTGATAGGATTTAACTCATAAGGTTTGGCTTCGTTTATTCTATCCTTAAAGAAATTATTTGGTTCTTAGATTGCCCGAATTACTTGTGAAGTAATCGGCCTCTTAACCTTATGCAACATGAGTATGGGATAAAATTCCACAATACCCGTTGCATAGGGTGAGTTACAATCCAAGCGAAAGTCCAAATGAGCATCAGTGGACATAAGTCACACTTGCCACTTGAATCTTTCTTTTCTAATCTTAAAAAGGACAAAGCTCGGGTCCAAAGCTTTTATGGGTTCATCGTGAAGTGTGTGAATACACAAATAAATATCATGCATGCATGTGGCCAATATGAAAAATTGAAAAGAATTACAGTAATAAATAATGTAAATAAAATAAATGCCAAAAATAAATAGCATATAAGAAAAATCATATGAAAAGCTGGCCAATATGAAAAATTGAAAAGAATTACAGTAATAAATAATGTAAATAAAATAAATGCCAAAAATAAATAGCATATAAGAAAAAGTATATGAAAAGCAAACACAAGTAGTTGGTTCAACCCTAAGTCCCCAGCGGAGTCGCCATTCTGTCGATACACGACGTCGGGCGACGGCTCCACTCCTTTTTTTTTGTTTTTTTAAACAAAAGGAATTTAATTTTTTATTTGATTGGGGGGAAATAAAGATTTTATTTGGAGTCGCCATCTAGTAATTTGAGGGAACTAGAAATCCAAAATTAGACACTGGTCCCAGAGATTCGGATACTGGGTTAGTTATGATTAAGGGAAGGTAGACACCACCCTTAAAACATCCTTTCAGAGAAAGGTTACCTTTACTTGTGTGTTTTTCTTATTTTGATTCAAATGCTATTATATTTTGAGCTTATCTGTAAATTTTTAACATATTTAACGTCGGTCCCTAAAAATAGGAGACGCGTTAAAAATGACATCAGTCCCTAAAATTAGGAGACTTTGTCTAAAATATCGACGTTTATCCCTAAAAAGGAGAGTTACGTCTGATTTATCAAAATAAATAATAATGGACACAATCCATATTTGGTATTTAAATTTTTGACATCGGTCCTTTTCTATAAATAAAAGAGACGTGTCGAGAAAATTTATTTTATAAAATAAAAATTATTTTGATATCATTCATAAATAGATATATCAATTCTTGAAAATTGGGTTTTTGACCTATGAACAGTGATATGATAAAATAGGTGTTAAACCCGCGTTGTTATTTATTTTGGTTTTCTTTTGTTTTTTTTTTTTAATGCAAGGATTTACAAGTATTTATATATAAAAATATCAAAAAATACAATAAAATATCATAAAAAATTACCTGAGCGCCCCTGTATAGGCAAAAGACTGAAATACCCTCGGATTTATCGAAAATTTACGAAAATGCCACTGGACCCGCGGTTACTGTTCACGCGCTGGTACTGTTCACGCGCTGGTACTGTTCACGCCGAAATTTTCCGGCGAGTTTCCGGAAAAAGATAGTCGATTCTGGTAGATCTGAGGACGAGGATTCTGATGGTGGTGGTCTCGTTGTCCGTTGATGGCTGAGGAGGGAGAATCGACGACTTGAAGGTCGTTTGGTCGATGTCGGTCACGGCCTTTTTCCGGCCAAATTAGCCGGTGAAAAAGTGTGAAAAGGACGGGGTTTTGCTCAGGGGGAGGCGATGCACAATTCTGCGGTGGTTTCACGGCTTGAGACGGCCGGAAATGGGAGATCCGTGGAGAGAGAGAATCGCCGGCGAGAGGAGAGAGAAGCTCTGAGTGTTGATCTGGTGTGGACGAGTGTATGGTGCCCTCATGCGTCGGAAGGCTGTGAACCGCTGGATCTTGGATGAATAGATCGTGCGGCTGTGATTCGTTTGATCTCCAAGTTGATCGGGCGGTCAGGATTGAATGGGCTACGATCTGGTGCGGCGCGGTGTACCGAGTTCTCGGTATACCTGCTGACGTGGCGCAACCAGATCGAAGGGCAGATTATTTGAACGGCTGAGATTGATTTGGGTTTTAATCTGGTGTGGTAAAGCCTATTGTATCCTAAGAAATCAAAGGCTCAGATCTAAATACTATTAGATCTAACGGTTGGGATATTTTTGGTAGTTTTCAATTTATTAAAAAAAAATTTAATATCTTACTAGGGTACAGAAAAAGTATAAGAAAAATGAATAGTACCCAATAGTAACCCAAACAGTAATTCTGAATTCACAATTGCAAATACAAAATGAATTTTTTATCTTT